AACGCAGTTTGGCTTGTCCACTGGAGAGAATATAGTTCGCGGCGAGATCAGCCGATCAGTGTTTCGTCTTTACTCGACTGGACTCGGAGCTCTCCAGGGCTGATTTTGAGGCGATTTCTCGCAAGTGGACACTTACCTTAATGGATGGTCTCCCAACGACCTGAGAGAACTGTGAGTGAGGTAGCTTGAGAGCCAGAGGTATAGATCGGCTTTGATCCCAAAATGTTTGAGGTTCATGAGAAGTCATTCATATGGGACCTTGTCGAAAGCTTTAACGAAGTCAACATATGTGATATTTACAAGATCGTGTAAGTAAATACTTAAGTAAGTATCTAATATTTATTGTGCTAAGGGGGTTAAATCCATATACTCGTCAAAAATTAATATCAAAATATACATGCCAAACTCGAAATCAAAATATATACATATCAGTTCACACAATTAACGATGTACAATTGCACTCCAGATATTCCTGAACAGTCTGAAAGCTCTGTTATCATTTTATTAAAAAATATAGTACTGAAATAATTAATAGCATTTCTACATGGTGAGATTCTTAAATTTTCAATTGATAAATCAATGGACCTGGTACTATATTCATGGAATGAGTTTAAAAAAGGAAAACAATTTAATTCATTAATTAAATAATTGTAAAATAATAAATATATAAGCACGGTAGTGTCAGAAGTTTTAAGGAGTTAAAATACATCTTCTAATCATCCCTGTATTCAATATTTGCAATAATTCTTACTGCTCTTTTCTGTAAACTAAAAAGCTTCTGAAGTGATGACCAGTGACCCCCATTAAGTATTCCTCCATACATTAAATGCGATTGTACAGGACCATAATAAGCAATTTTCAAGACCTCTTAAGATAAGTGATTAGACAAGTTTCTTAATAAATATATATCTTTGGAAATTTTGTTTATGGTGTGGGTCACATGATCCTACCACAGTAATTTTAAGTCCAATATTATGCCAAGAAATTTAGTGGAAGATTGACGGATATAAACTATTAAGTCCTTTCCGCATAGATGTTATTTAAAGATGTTATTATTGACTGGGCTGATGTCTCTCTTTTGCCAATTCTCGTATCATCTGCGTACAATACTATTGAAAAGTGGGATAAATAATTAGGTAAGTCATTGACATAAATCAAAAACAACAGAGGCCCTAAGATGAAATCCTGTGGCACCCCGTTCATTACTTTATTTTATTAGACAATTTACCATCTACACTAACTAAGTACTTGATATCTCTTGGAGGGATAGGAAAGTACTAATTTAGTAGGATTTGGATCAAAATTATAAAAAACAGTTTCCGTAATAATATTTCGTATGATATACAATTAAAAGCTTTACTAAGGTCTAGAAATGGAGCTAAAACGTATTCACCATGTTGTAAGGATTTCACCACATTGTCAATAAGGGAAAGAATAGCTTTTTCGATTGATAAACCTTTACGAAATCCATATTGGTTATTATAAAATAACTTAATTAGTATCAAAATATTTTAGTATTTGATCAAATATTAATGATTCGAAAACTTTTGAGAAGACAGGAAACAAAGATATTGGTCGATAATTATTTAGAATCACCTTGTTTATGTAGGGGAATGACCGAGGCAGTTTTTAAACAATCCGGGAAAGTAGAATTACCATTGGATTTAATTTAGTTAGTGTTGGAATTAGTATGTCGTGAACTGATTTGATGACACATACCTACATTCAAACTATACATGTATATCCTTACTTGTTTTAGTTTCTAATTTATTAATTGCATCACGGACTTGTATTTCGCTGACAGTCTCGAATAAAAAAAAATGTTTGAAGCATTGACTATTGAACACATACGATTAATAGTATCTCCATTAGGATTAGGCACGGAATATTTCACAAAATTAACAAAAAATCTACTATACTCAGATGGTATTATCTTAGATGTTTCATGAATCGTACGTTGTTTGTTTTTATTTATAAGCGACCACCGAATCAAACTCGACCTGTTCGAGCATTTTTCACATAATCAAGTACAGCGCCTACAGTCCCGTTTGTTTCGTTTTTTTTTTGGGCCACCCTGTATACATTTAATCATATAAAAAATGAAGTGTTTCTCTCATCTTTTTTAACTCAGAGGTAAACCAGACTTTATTATGAACTTTTCTTCAGTTAGAAATTATTTTATTTTTAGGAAAACTTAAATTGAAGGTGTTTAAAGTGATGTCTAAAAACATGGCAAACAAGACATTTACATCAAGATTTGATGTGATAAAATTCCAATCAATATGATACAACATATTAAAAAAATCATTTTTCCTCGTTGAGTTATTGGCTGAACAAATCTAAATGCATACGAGTCATCATAAGCATTTTCTAGTTATAAGATATACTTTTACAGAGATATCTGTGTGATCAGGCCTAGAAATATTAATAGGTGTAACAGTTAATACGTTGACATTTATTGTATTAGTGAATACAATATCAACAGTATTGTTACGTTGGTTGGTGAATAAAATCGGCGTGGGTTAAACTCAATAATTTATTTCTGACCTGAGCGGACCTGACCTGACCGATTCTAGACTTGTCTGGAGCTCCCATTCGCGACTTCCGCTTCCAAGCTCTTCTCCGGCTGCTGTCACCCCGACAATGAGTCATCATCGCCGTACAGACCAAAAAGCTCTCGACGGCCCATAGGCGTCGTACCGGGGCGACGTATGAGTTTATTTCGTAACAGTATTATTCATGTGTGTTTTGAAATTAACTAGTGGATGGAAACCGTAACTTTTTAACAAATCAGAAAAATATAACATATTAGTATCAGAAGTACCAAAACGTAAAGTAAAGTCTTCTCCCAATATTACACAAGTATTTAGATTTATAATCAATTATTCTAAATAACTTAACTACAATATTTTAGGTGAACGGTATAACTAAAGTTAATAAATTTTCGATTACATTCTTTACTAAAAGCACCACATATTTCACAATCAACTTCACAAGATAACATAGAGATATTTTTTAAATTACAACAACGCAAATGCTGATTCAGAAGAGTCATCACTCATCAGTCATCAGTTCATCACACAGAACTGCGGCAAATTACTTATGTCTTCCAATGTATAAATCTGATCGAATTTGGACGCAAAAATTTGAAAGATTTCGATCAAGTTGTCACAAAAGTGGCCATTATTTAATTTAAGAACTGGCACAGGAACATGCGTGTCTGAGGAGTTCCCAGAATATCTGTTAAGCTGTTTTTTTGTTTGCATTTAGGGATATATTTTGTTCATATGTTGCCTTCTCTTGCCTAATTAGCCTTGAAATACTATTAGAAACGTTCTGAAATTTATATTATAATCAGTTTGAAGCCGGATTTGCTTAAATACATATGTCGTTCTCCAGGGCATATTTTAAACCAATCAATAAACGCCAGCTCGCAATCGAGACTAGAGTAATTTAATTAATAACTCTTGAGAAATGTGTTAGATTTTTAAATGGCCTGAATTGCCAATTGGAGATAAAATTTTGTATTCGGTTAGCAGCTGAGAAGAATTTGTTAGAAGAAGATCTAAAATGGAAGGAGTTTAGTTAGCCTGAATCTAGCGTGATTTGTGATTAATTGTTCTAGATTTAAAAAGTGACAAAATTTCTAGATTTGCAACTAGCTGGAACAGCGTCGTTGACCCAATCGATGTCTCAGTAATTAAAGCCTCCACAAATGACTAAATTAGGATAAGTTATCACTCATTTGAAGAAATTTCTCGAAAAATAACTTTACAGGATCATCTTCTTTTAACTCATTAACAAATATGTAGTCGGTACTTGAGTTTAAAGCAAATTGCCTGACAGACAAATGTGGATTTGCTTCGGCTTCCAGTAAAATGTTTAATTTATTGTCTTGAGGTACAAAGGTCGACCTCGTCTAGTTAAGGTTCGTACAGTACCATGTTCAGAAAATTTTGCTAGGCTCTTGTAAACAATATGTCACCTTTTGTCAAATTTAACAGCTTTAATAGTAGTTCCCAGTGTCGAATCCCATGAAACTTCTTCTAATGATGATGCAACGTACATAATCTTGTTGTTTAAAAGATAAAAACAGTATTTTTGATGCTTTCGGTAGTTTAGAAACCCTCATATGTTTCCATGAAAATCGAATTTTTGTTGTCTAAACTGTAATGGGATTTTTTTAAAGAATTATAAAAATGCTTATGTAAGGTACCAAATTTTTTTACGACTATTTAACTAATAAAAAATCTGTGAAAGAAAAGTTGGGGTTGCCATTTAAAAAAAAGTGTCTTAAAAAAATTAATAAATTGTTCGTGGATGTTTATTTTTATTTTTGTTATTATTTCTCATTTTGTGTGTAGGAAGCAGGAAGCACTTCAGAAGCTTTCGAGTAGTAGAGAAATAGTCCATTTGCTAAACACTTATTTATAATTAATTACATCTAGTGGAGTCAAAAAGATCGAAGGGATGTTTTTGAGGATCTGAAAACCATTTCATCTATTCTTTATTTGATATTACATTAATAATAATAGTTGACACATTTTTTTGCTCGAAATTTGCCTTTGAAATACGTATCAGCTGTTTAGTTCCACATAAAGAGGCAAAACATCGATTTGTCGTTGCAAATAACCATTGAATTGAAATTTTCCATTTTTGTCGCCAATTGACAAAATTGCCGTTTTTTGGAGTTAAATTGCTAAGTGGAAACACGCGAATGTTCCGTTTGGTTAACTGAACTATTCATATATGAAAATGAATTAATAGCTTTTCAACCTTTAGTTCACGGACAATTTCTTTGTTGCGTTTTGTCTAATTTCCTTTCCTACATTTTCTCTTTTCGTTCCACTTGTATCTACCAACACTTAATCCGAATTTTGTTATGTTCTTTTATACATACAACTTTGCTACTATAAGCTCAGTTTTTAACTGCTGGATTTTCATAATTGTTTTGTGTTAAAAGCGTGTTTTTTTTTTAGAGATTTTAATAAATTCACAAATTTTAAAGTTTAACGCTTCTTTAAGCATTATAACAATGACTTATTAAGCATAATTCTATATAAATAAACACCCTAAAGCCAACACAACAAAAACATAAATAGATGTAAAAACAGTTCCTGCACTGACGGGTACGTCGTTATTGTCGTCACACGCAGTCACATTACTATCTCCAAGACAAGATGCGTAACCCATAATATGTGGTATAACATTTTGTTCTATAACCCCTCGAAACAAGTGTGCCCAGGGTCCTTTCGCAAAGACTAGAACATCATCACCGCCGTGCGTTTCAGAATCCAAGGGAAAAATTGCCGAAAATCGATATTCTATATTACCTAAAAATCCATTCAGCTGTTTTCCGTCGAACAACAAGTAACCATACTTACTTAAATCGTCTTCAGAAATGTTATGTCTGCTTCCGTTCTTACTGGGTTGTTGATATCCCGGACCATTCGCATAATTAATAGTAGTAAATGGTAGCCCATCATCTGCAGCTTCTCCTTCCGTACCTAGAATATCGTTCCCTCTGAAAGGGTAACCACTGATGGACATAGTATGAGCGTGGTCTGCCGTCACTACAATTAAAGTATCATTTTCAGATGTAATATTAACAGCTCGTTCTATAGCTCTTGAAAATTCAGCCGTTTCTTCCAGCGCTAAATGTGCCATAGCTTGATGATGACCCATATCAATTCGGGCACCTTCGACAAACAAAAAGTAACCCTCAGAATTTTTCGAAAGAATATTAATAGCAGCTTCCGTCATTTCCGTAAGAGTCGGATCGAGTGCTTCGTCGCGTTCCAAATGGAAAGGGCAATGATCACTCTCAAACAAACCCAAAACATAATCAGTTTCCTCTGGTTTCAAAGCCAACAACTGCTCTCTATTCCAAATGTACTCAGCTTGTTCGCTTTCTTTAAGCTCTTTCCACTTTTCGATCAAGTTGACACCATCAGATCGATAACCTTCATCGTCTTCATCGCCTTTTGTACCTTTCGGGAGAAAAGCATAGCGACCTCCTCCCATGATAACGTTCAAATTTTTGCCGACGTCTTCAGTGACTAGTTGTGTTGCCAGATCTGTGCACACACTTGCATTTTTACCGTCGTTGATGATGTCAGTGTCTGTTTCCCAGTCTCTTTGGGCGGAGTGCCCGAAAACTCCAGCTGGTGAGGCGTGGGTTACTCTAGCGGTGGTCACAAATCCTGTGCTTTTGCCTTTGACTTGGGCCCATTGGGCAATGGAATCGACGTTGTTGGAGGTGTTGGTCATGGCGTTACAGTCTTCCCAGTCAACACTAGCTGTGACTCCTACAGTACCAAGGTTGGCTTTAACACCTCCTAGGTAAGCTGTAGCGGTGCATGCGGAATCTGCGACTTGATAATTGACGCAATAGGTCTGTAATTCATTTATATATATATGTAAAAAGAAAACAAGTCAAAAATAAATGAGTTTTACCTTAGACACAGCAGTGTAAGGAAATTTTTCAAATGATAGTTCAAAATTTTCTCCTCCCATGTACACTCTGGTTGCTGCTAGAGTTGGTATTGACATTCCATCTCCCATAAATAGGATTACGTTTTTGGCAACATCTATCAAAATACACAGAAAATCAGAAAATAAATTACTTTACATTATTTACTCACTTGTGTTATGTTCTGCAGCTACAGCTTGCTTCAAAGTCTTAATAGCGTTTGTTTTCCAAAAATCTGCAGTGTTCTCTTCGTTACTGTTGTACTTTTCAAACGATTTTTTAGGGTGAGGGTGCATAACCCGATCACTTAAATGATCTGGTCTTGCTTCAGTTAACAAGCAACAAATTGACAAAATTACAAATTTGAGCATCTTTGATTAAGCGGTTGGGTTATGATTGAGTTGTACTATATATAGGGTAGGTATTATCGTTAACAAACAGTTATCTCAAGTTTAGTAGTAAGTTGTTAATGTTATCTAGATGCAAAACTCTTGTTCACTTTTTATGTAGTATTTGTTTTAGCTGTTATTAGTTATTGTCGCGTTTTTTATTAAGTTTTTTGACAGTTTTATTTTTGTGTTATAAAATATCGCTAATGTGAAGTACAGTATCGAAAAACTAATCGTTTCTTGGAACAGATCAGTATTTAATGATGGGTTTCAATCACTTAAATTAGTTCATTATGTACTAAGTGTAGTTTATTCTCAAAAACCGGATAACCAAGTTAACATCAATAATAAGATGATATCTATTAACATAAAAAGTACAATAATGTCTTGATTTTGTTATTCTAACTAAACTGACACATCTTATTTTAAGTATTATTAATTATTATTCTTCTTATGAACTTTTAAAGTTTAATAAGCTTGTTTTTGAATGTTTTGTTTTTATTAAAACCAAAGTAGTAGGATTTTTCTCCATCAACAAGAATCAGGATTGGAGCTAGATGTGGATAACCACAATATAAGCTTTAAATATCAAATATAATTTACAATGAAAGCATAATTTGGTTATTAAATCCCTACATAAATGTCGCAATTAGTATTTGGGTTAATGTGCTCGAAGGCAACTGATACTTGTACATGACCTTTCGTTACACGATTGCTACTAGTACACTATTAATTAAAGCGAGTTATTTGAGAAACAATAATATACCTAATATAAAATCCACTTTATGTAATCGTGATTTTTTAAATAATTTAGTGGGCATTAATATTTAATCATTAAATAATGCTATTACCTAAGTGCTGCAATTTCGTAAATTGCATAACAAAGGACCAAAGTGACACTCGAGTGAAAGTAAAATAAAATACAAGGACAGTTCATGTTTAGCCCAGAATTTTTATCGCGACAACAAGAAGAAGATTATTGCTAATTAGTTTTTTGATAATGTTATGGCTATCGAGAAGTCTTTTACATCGCAATTATTGTTACAAATGTACTGATTAATGATTAAAACACTGATAATATAATCACTCCAAATCTCTGTTCGCAACAATTTATCATTAGTATTACATACTATTATTAGATTTCTTTATAACGAAAAACATTTTGTTGAAGATCTCAAAGTTCCATTAGTGTAACATTTTAAAGAAGTATATCCCTCAGTAAAAATTCTGGCCAGAATTGAACAAATCCACCTCTGTTGATTTTAACTATAGTCGAACTTTAACAGAGATGTAATTTGTAGTTTTACAAATTTCGAGACCAACTTGCAAAATTTTATCAGTATACAAAAACTGTGCATTTAGAGTGTAGCCAACTTAATAAAAAAAATTCGTGATTGATCGTGACGGTAACCGATAACACCACAAATAGTTCGATTCATTCAGGACAACGACAGACTTTGCTCAGATAGAACGAACGTAGATTTTCTTTGATTTATTACGGTTTTCTTAAAGAAACATCAATTTGGGATGTAAAGTTGGTTGCCTACCAAGCATTTGAAAAATTGATTCATCTAAGACATTTGTTACTATTTTATTAATTATTAACTACTCGTTACATTTGTTGGAATAATACACACTTTGTCATTAAAACACGCTATATTCGACAAACGAACTTACATAATTTATACAACATAACAAGTTTTAACTGTAAGTATTAAAAACTACAAAATACATATTGAAAATTATAGCCATTCACCAATTATTATTGTTATTGTCTATGACGAACGTCCTCCTCAAGCAAATTGAAAATACAAGAACCACAAACATTGAAAAATGCAGTCGAGAACGTAATTCATCCTGACGGTTTGTCAATTTTCTTAAGGAAGACTCCAATAAACACATATATACATTTGAACATTTAACTGTAATATAACATTGAATATGTTCTTCGAAATGAACAGTTTTCACACTACTTAATCATAATTACAAAAACGCGAAAGCATCATAATTAACTTTATAAAAAATTTATTATTGGATCTTAGCATTATAAAATGGAATATACTTAATTGTCTTAAAATTAACTGCTATCTAATTAAACGTGTAGACTAAGATTTTGCGATTATTATTTGTTAGTAACAACCTCATGTCAAGCTTTCGTTTCTCATTCTTTAATTCTTAGAAACGGAGGAAAGAACTTTTCACCTTAAACGTACTTTAGAAAGACTCGAAAAGGCCTAACAATAAATATATTATTTTGAAAGTAATTATCCACTAAGAAAGGCTATTTTAATAAAAATAATTTTTGGTGATTATTTTAATAATTATCTCCACCCTGTAAGTATAGCATTTGTTTCTTGTTTGTCCCGTAGGGTTCTAGATGAATTATAAAGAATATAGAAGCAGTGCTTTATAATTTAATGGATACGAATATTTTTTAAGTTAATTTATTAATGTATTAGTTGAAAACTTTTGCTGCTGGGCTTTCTTTGATATAAGCAGTTCTTTAAATTGGACCATATTCTTGCAGTCTCTGCCTAATTCTTGGCTGTCAGAATGTTGACGAACTCTGAAACAAATAAAAAATTAAACACAACTAACTAGTGGCTGGGATACCTAACAAATTTTAGAGTTTGGCCTCGAGATATCAAAGGTGCGCATGATTGGGTGAAAAAAGGAATGCTATGGAGGCAAATTTAAAACCCTGCTACGTGATTGGTGGGCATAATGTTGATCAAAATGAGACTTAAAATCACAAATTCAAATAATGACTAGTTAAATGACCAAGAAAAAGCTCAAGCAAATATCTTTGGAAACATCTTTTTTTTATATCTTGTAATAGAAGTAAATTAATGTATTATCAAATCAATTATAGTCAAACTAAAGAGAAAATATATGACATAAGCAAGATTGTACCTTCGTAGTTGACTTGCCCATCGCCATCCAAATCAGCTTCCTTGATCATGTCATCGACCTCTTCTTCGGACAATCTTTCCCCCAAACTGGTCATCACGTGGCGTAGCTCATTGGATGATATCAATCCGTCGTTGTTCTTATCAAAAACTCTACAATTTAAACCAAAGTTAGAATCGCCATGCATTCCGGAAAATAAAAAAGAAAAACCACTCCCGCAATACTCATATTGTTACATCGAGCGTTATAACAAAACGGAACACGAGTAAAAAGAGACTTAAGAAAATTTCCTTCTGCAAAACGTTTCATACATATAATTTTATCGCCCATAATATAAATATAAAAGGCAAAAAATTCGAGAAACTCGCCCGATTGAGCTCAGTTCGTCGAATGTCTTTTTATTTTACTTCACGTTCCGGTAACGCAAAACAAACAACATTCAATCGAAAAGCTCCCTCTGGCCCCGAGGTAATTTTAATTCAATTTTTACTTTGTTTTTTCCACCTCGTTTGACTTTAATGTTTAAATCTTCTCTCTGCTGAGATCGATCTCACCTGAATGCCTCTTTCAGCTCCTCCTCCCCGTCTGCATCCTTCATTTTCTTCGACATCATTTGCAAGAACTCGTTAAACTCTATTGTCCCGTTTCCATCTTGGTCCACTTCATTCACCATATCTCGGAGCTCCGTTTCTGACAAAAATTAAGAATAAAATGAAAATCGTTTCAGTTTAAATGAAGCTGAATTGTGAGGCCGGTGCCTCGAATTATTTCAGTTAATTTTAATCTGGAATTTAATCTTTTTTGTTAAACTTAGGCGTGGGTAATATTCTGGAATTATCTGCACCAGCAGACGTAACCACTTACAAGAGTTTTTTAGTTTGAAACAAAAGGTTTTTTTTGCTTAAATTTCGGTATTCTGTAATGTTAACGTATAAACTTTACACTAAACAAAACAAGCAATTTATCTAAATCTAGACCAAATGTCAAAAACACAGTGATAATTCAATTGCTAATGGGTATTAAGCTGTAAAATTGATATGTTATGCTAAAGTTGTATTTCAAGAAGAGAACACCCTGTATAGTTGAAAATAATTTTAGTGTATGCTTTCATAAGTCTTTTGGACTTTCTTCAATTTCTAATAATTTTTGAGACATACACAAGCATGGGCTTATTGACTCAGCCTGTATATACAGGGTTAGTCACGAGAGAATTACTTCTGAAAATTATTTTTACGCAACCCAAAATACGAATACCATGTACCATTTGATACTAAATGAATTTAAAATGAAATGCTTAATCCATGATTGCTTTGAGTTTGGCAATCTCATTTTGACAATTGTGGAAAAGGAGGTTACGCGAGTGTCCATGGTGGTACCGCAGCCAGTCGGAAATCTCCTCCGGCGCCGCTAAAAAATTTGTCAGTGTGCCTCTTAATCTTTTGCAACCGATTAATCACGAGAAAATTATTTCTAAAAATTCTTTTTACGGAATTTTATTCAAAGGTTACAACACAAACTCAAACAAGTAAGTAAATAATTTAACTACTAATCTGTTGAGAATGTTGGGCATTTTGAGGGGATGCTACGGCTTTTTTGTAAATGGATGGCCGAAGAAATCCAGAGGTTGCAGATTTTCACTTCGAAGAGGCTCTAGGTGACGCAGAGATGGCGAATTAACACATGCACATTAGCGGCGAACAACATTGGTAGAGCACTTACGGCTTCAGTATAGCCCAGCTAGTTGAAAATTTGAAAATGTTAGCCAACTGATTCGCAGTTCTCGCGGCACATATAATAATTCATCCCAACATGAAATTGCTTTTAACTGATTCTATTAAATAAATAAAAATCCGTCAATACTGAAATTCACCTATCTCGAACACAGTAAAATTGTAATTCAGACGACGAAGCAAAATTTTACTGCTAACATGGTCGGACGTTCTCGGCGTTTAAAATGTAATGTAATGTTATTTTTTTCACCCGAGTGCCATTTTTTGCAAGAACGAAGTTAATTACATAAAACTGAATTTTTTATTGAGGGCAATTTCATTAGTAACAACTTGAACCTTCAGACCACTTACTGTAGGGTAGGGTATGTCAGGCGCCATTCCGTGTTTGCGGACTTCACAAGATGGTGTATATTAGTTATTTCACGAAAGTAATATATTCTTGTTGATTATTCTGTGACAACTCTTTCTGATTTATGTTGTAAGCCACTGTTTAGTTGCTTTAAACAATATTAACTCCATAAACTTTGTATTCTCAGTATATTATTATCAGTATCACATAACTTACGCTACTTAATTATTATTTCTCCGAAAACAAGGAAACCTATGTTTTCAAACTAAAAAAAGCTATAGAATTATTTTGCCAAACAATGTAGGTAGGTATTTTCAGCACTACAAAACTTAATCTGTCTGAAACAGTTGTTACGGACAATTCTCTAACCCCGAATAAATCAGTAATGATCTGGACAAAAAGCAGGATACGGGATGGCTTCTCATTGTAGGATATAATGCGAACTCGCACCACACAGTATGAGGAAGTTGTAATGCTACAACGGGTTTGTATATTCTGAATCGTGGAAACGAGACAACTTTTGTCAGTGACGTGAGATAACAGCTTATCGATAGGGTTAGTTCATAAAATCAAAGACTGGCATTAACCGATAGAACTGAGTTCATCGGATCATCGATACATCCACTTTGGCATTCGAAACAATAAAGAGTCGGAACGGAAACAAAGAAATCCAAGAGTGACAAACTGGGAGTCAAGGAGGCTCTGGTCAAAAGGGTCTTGGACCTGCTAAATAGATTCTTGTTACATGAGGACATCGTCGAGTCTTACAAGGAGAGTTGCCCAAAACGTAACTAACCTGGAATAGGGCTCCACTTGACAAATCGTCGATTTCTTGAGAGTTCAAAAAGAATGCCCAAAAAGAGTTTCAATCTGCAATTCGAAGCAGGAAAACAGACACACGGAAGGACTTCTATGAGAAAATAGACAATCTTACACAAGTAGAAAGACTTCAGAAGGACCTTAGTAAGAAGCCGTTTGCTAGGCTGGGGTCGCACCGCACGCCAGGAAGGGTCACGGTTTTCGAAGAAGACGCTTTGAGGCATGGCGATTTGCGCCTAAAGTGACCACCCCAAAGATCTTGAATGAAATGGAAAATAAATTTCTTTTGTTCCATTTAAATCAGTGGGCATGGATGACATTTTTATAGGTCTCTTACAAAAGGAAAAATCTCTCATTAAACCCCTGTTGCACATTTTCGCAGCTTGCCTCGTTCTAGGCTACATACTAGTAGCTAGACCAAAGTAAGAGCTGCCTTTATCCCGAAACCTAGGCATACTTAGTACGAATGCCGAGGTAATGAGTTTTAGACCCATTACTCTAATGTCTTCCTTCCTAAAGGTGATGGGAACACTGGTTGACAAATCTGTTCGGGAGGAGTTGCCTCTGCACCCAAACCAACATATGTACTAGGTGGAAAAGTCTACTGAATCAGTCCTAAACCAAATGTCACGATCATAGAGGCGGAGCTAGAGTGTGGAATGTACTCACTTGGAATTTTCATGAATATAGAGGGGGCATTTGACAATACAACCTTTGAATTTAGGTGTCCCTCTTGTCAGGTGAGTCCGTGCGATGCTTACCCAAAGATCCGTCAATGTGAGTCTAGATTCGCAATGTATTGAAATAATCGCTACACAGGATTATCCGCACGGGTGTTCTGAATTCTGGATTTCATATTCTATAATGCGGGGCCTGATTGTAACATGTCCAGATGCTTGGAAATAATCGAGTGACATCCGAATATTTAACATTATGCAGACGATTTATAATTTTTTGGGAAATTTAAAACGACTTCATAATTAACCGTGGGAAGTGTTTTGCAATGTCCTATACTCGACAACGAAGTCCAGTTAAATTGGACTACACTATCTTCAATGGCATTCTAGACAGACCGGAACACACTTGGTCTTGTCATTCGCAATACTAAAGGTAAAAATGATGTAGATGCACTATATTAAATTTTATGTTATACTTTTGTGCCGTCGCAATTAGAGTATGCCTCGGTTATTTGGAGTCCAACTTACAACATTCACATTAACAGGCTGGAGAAAATTCAAAGACGTTTCACCAAATACATTACATTCTTATTAGATGTATCCATAACGAGGCTCCCCACAGGAACTCCTGTTAAAAAGATTTGAATGAATAGTCTTCGTACTAGACACATTTCCGATTCAATTTGTCTATTGTTTCTTATTATATGTTCTGGTATTAATTCTCCTGAGCTACTTCAACAAATTTCTTTACGACTCCCTCTATCCAACTTGAGAATTAAAAATTGTTTTGAAATAACACCACCACCCAAAACTAACATCCTTAAAATGTCACCACTACGAGCCCCGCCCACTTCAATTAGCCGACTCATTAAAAATCTTCTTTTAATCCTTTCGACTTGGACGATATAATTCAAATATAAGTAAATAGATGTATATTATTGCTTTTATTAAAGATAGTTCAATAATATCTGGTCATCTAATGCTGAATAGTGTCAGTAATTTTAGGAATTTAGTAAAAAATAACATTGCACAGAATTTTGAGAACAAGTTGATCTGAAAGTTACACTCGTCCCTAATTCTTGGTACTTTTTCTTTTAGTGCTGGTACTGTCTTTGCTAGGTAAGTAGTTTTTTCATTTTATTGTACAGTGTTTCTATGGGAGACAAGTCAGGATTGCTAGAAACCCATTTTAGTAGAGGGATGATGTTTTCTGAAAACCAACATGAAGTTGTTTTAGACGTGTGGCAGGATGCACCCTTTTGTTCGGAAATAATTTTTGTTTCAGATACTGAAGCATCACTGTAGATGTTGTTCTGTCTAAGATGTTTAAATATTTTTCTGTATTAACTGTGCCCTCCATAAAAAGTAGTTTCCTGATACCTGTTGCAGACATCAGTCACCACACCATAACAGATGCTGTAAATTTTACTTTTTTCAAACAATCTGGATGCTGATATGTTTCATTTTTCAGTTGCTATTGCCCAGAGAAACACAGAAACCGCAAACCGGGAATCACCACTCCGCAGCTGCACTGTTCAGTGGTCCCATTTTGATGTTTTGTACACAATTCAACCAGTTTTTCCTTTGCCTTTTCTGTCAATAGTGGCATTTCTTTAATCTAAGATTTGTATTATAATATTTTTGAAATAACTATTGAAATTTATTTACTTTTTATGTTCCAAATCCCTGATTTGTCTTTTGAATTACAATACATATTGTAATAATAGCATTAAGCTGGTAATGTCCCATAAGGAATCTTACTAGTTCACACTATTTGTCTCCTTGTAGTGAGAGATAAAATTTTGTCAACTTATGGTTTGCTGTCGTTATACAAGCTCTACTCTGCCGAAAGCTGCTCAACGTCGTCCATAACTGCTCATGACCTTTATGGGTATATTGCCTCATGAGTTCGTCTGAGAGGATAGCCGAAGGCGTGATTGCCTGTTTGGGTCCATTGAAGGGGATACTCAAACTCGTATCGCCATCTCATCTGCCCTGTCGTTTTCTGCGTTACCTAAATGTTCTTTGGTCCAACAAAGTTCTACACAGTTGGGAGGGGAGGGGGGGACGAAGCAGACCACGATTAATTTTGGGGCTTAACATCCTTTCGGGGCCTAACACTCAAAATTGGATATACACCAGGGTGATTAAACCGATGATCCTCTACGGTCACGTTATCCCGTGGGGTTCGACAATCAAAGTCTGGGCTAAAACTCTTTTGACTCGAGCACGTCTGGCCTGCCTGATAATGCAATGAGAAGCACACCGACCGCTGCCATGAAAATACTGGTCGGGCTGTCTCCTCTTAATCTGTGGATCATGGAGAGTGTTAAAGCGGGATTCCTGAGAACGCGCAGCTCTGGACAGTGGAAATGAATTATTAATGAATGATAATTCAGAAGGAAGAGTCGACGTCGATATCTACGTCGAGGGTGCCAAAACTGATAGTGCTTCAAGAGCTCATTGTCCTTTTGGACGAGGAGGAGAGGAGAGTCCCTAACACGCTCGCCGCCGTGGAGGGCTTCTTCCATGCCCGAGGCATGGAGGTCAATCCTCGATAGAGTGTAGGCCTCTGTGTTCGAGGGTACGAGGGGAGGTCTATCCCACGCGTCCAGCCGGTCTTTAGGATTGGCGGACAATGGATAAGACCCATTAAGGCGATGGACTCTTTTCAATACCTTGGACATCAGGTCGGGTCGTTCGGTGTCAAGCGGCCGAATCTCTACGCACTCCGGATGATGCTAGAACGTGTTCATCGCGCACCTTTGAAGCCGGACCAAAAGCTATCCGTGCTCCGACAGTACTTGATCCCTCGGCTCCTTTATGGGTTCCAGAACCTCGGTGTTACAGGCGGTCTGCTTACAGCGGCCGACCGGTTGATATAGAGGCTCATGAAGAGGGTCCTACATTTTAACATCCACACCCCAGATGCGGTTATACACGCTTCGGCGCGATATGGCGGTCTGGGTGTGTATTGCATCCGGAGTGGTGTGCGATTCCCGTGATACGCTCTGTGATGGCCTCACCGGGGGTGACTAGGCTCGTGTCGAGGATCCGACAACTGGCTGGAGACGTCCCCCCGGACCAGGTGTGGAAAGAGAGGCTACATACGGGTCAAATGACGCAGGAGAACCTGCCGGTAGTCAGGGTGCCTTATAATCCCCAACCGGCCAGGCAGTGCAGGGGTTGTCGCCAGAGGATAGAATCCTTGTTCCACGTCCTGCAGGGATACCCTGTGACGCATGGGATGAGGATTCGAAGACATGACAAGATCTGTCGCAAAGTAGCCCGTCATGTAGCAGAATCAGGGTTAACCGTCGAGTGGGAACCACATGTGCGAGCCCGCGACGGCACCCTGTATAAGCCCGACCCCGTTATCCACACTGAGGGGGTTATTCTGGTGATGGACGTCCAAATCACGTCTGGGACCTGAAATGTCGCGTGTACGATCAGCAAAATTTTCGTGAGGCAGCGGCCCGACGGTGGCCAAGAGGGTGCTTCAGGTTCTGTCAGCTCATCTTGGGGGCTAGGGGTTTCTGGTCCCGATCCAACCAGGTGACGGAAGACCCGTTGAGGATCCCTAGTCATTTGAAGCCTTCCTGCGTTAATTCGGTCCTCAAGTGGGGGTCAAGCTTACACTCGACCTTCATGAGGACCGTCCGGGCGTAGGGCCTCGCGGAACTCGGGCAATGATGCAGTCTTCTGCCGTCTTGGACTTTCGTCCACACACCCTCACGCTAGCCTGTCTGCATCGCGGATCGCATATCGGGCGGGGGAGTATCCCCAACACCTGCAGATCGAACACCAGGTCACGCGTCTGGCAAGTGGCGAGTGGTTACGTGCCAGCTCAGCCAGCCATAATGTGAGGCTATAAGATTTCGCCGAATTTCACCTAGGATTGGTAACAGACCCGCTCTGTCGTGGATGCAATGAAGAAGAGGAAACAGCTGAGCATATTCTTCGTAAGTCTCCAGCGCTAGCCTCCTGGGGACATCTTACAAAAATCAAGAAGTTCGCACCCCCTCTGCATTCCTCAAGTATGCATTCAAGCAGCTGGATGGCTTGACGAGTAGAGGAGTGGGAAAACACCCTGATATGGACTTGGGGAAGGTACAATGGGCCCAAAGGCGAGGCCTAAGTGCCGCCTGGCTACGGTCAATCCCAATAAAATTAGAATCCATAATCCAGAATGTGTCATAGAATGTATGCACAGGAATTTTTTCGGAAGGTGAATCTTCACAGACAGCTAGGATTCACGGAAAGCTGTGCAATTTAGCAGGTACACATAAAAGCTTGTCTGGGAATGTCACAACCTTATACAGGATTGAGCGAAGCACAACAGAAAAGTTGTGCTTAGTTGAATACCTGGACACATGGGCTATAAGGGAAATGGAAGAGCCAATACTTTGTAGGTGCGGACCTGGCTCTATCAGTCCCTACAAGCGCCCAAAACAATGCATTCAAACAGTGCACGAAATTGCGTCTTCCGAAAATGAAATCCCTAAGCACATTTTGTGTTCCTGAGAGGCATTTTCTGGTATCAGGAAAGAACACATGATGGACTTCCAAATTTTGGAATCATATGATATTCGTGATCGCATGATCGTTCAAAAAGTGATCACTAAAACTCATGGGTTTAGTTATAAGACTTTAATATAATACATTCGAAATACACCTATAAATTGTATTCTTGGCTTCATGAAAGGTACAGGATTTTTTCAGGAATCAACTTTATTATTATTTTTTTAAGTCTACAATCTAGTTTTTTGCGCCAAGAAATTGCAAAATTTGAACATGCTTCGTAAAGAAAATAGTTATTATATGAAGACCTAGGTTATAGAAATTGTCCAACCACATATTTCAAAGTAAAAAAGCCAAAAGGTACTAGATTTATAGATGTCACAAAACAAGTAATTTAACTTAACATTTGAATCCCGCAACATAACCAAACGCTGGAAATTAAAGAGAGCTCGATCGCCTTGATCAGAGCGATCGATCCTATAGCCGTGATCTATGATTTGAACTTCCGATACAAACCATAGTAATATGTATCTTGTGTACTGTCATCTAGTTACTTTAATGACGATTTCTTTTTTCTTTGTTTGTGTTTAAATTTGTGATATTCAAATGTTTGTATCGATTTCTAATATTTGATTTGATTTTTGAAGGCTGGAAATTTTGAATTTTCGCGGGTTTTAAAAGCGGCAAGTGTTAGAAGATCAATCTGTTACAAGGTTATTCTACACCACTTTATGTTTTATATAATACAAAAGCCCAGCAGTTTGTAAATATTTTAAATTTTTGACTCAGAAATGTGCAACTTAATCAGATTTCGTATTTATCCCATTTACACACTTTTCGTTAATTAATAAACTCTGGAGACTCCCCCAGTTTTATTTATAGCAATTAGAATTTCAAGTTCCATTAGAACTTATTTATAGATCCACGAAAATTAAGAGAGAGCAGGTTTTATTTAAAACATTTGATACCGTGTTTTGGAAAAAAAAATCTTCTGTGTAGTTTCTTAAGCTTTACCTGTTGGTCTCTGTCCCAAGGACCTCATCACCACCCCCAGCTCTGCCATAGTTATCGTTCCATCTTCGTCCTTATCAAACAGCATGAAAGCCTCCTTGAATTCTGCCACTTGGTCTTCCGACAGCCCATATTCCGTCTGAAACAATTAGGTTATGTCAGCCGCCATTTTGTACCCCCACTCTCACTTACAGAAGTCTGAATAACGTCTAAGTTGCTGGTGAGACGCCGCAGACGCGAATATTCTTGACCGTATCTCTCGTTTTGCGACATTTTCGAGAAAAATCTACGTTTTGTCGGGTTTAACGGCGTCCGACTGAGCGAATTCTGCCAAATAACTATGTAAACGGAGTGTTTATGTAACCTTCTATTTATTTACCTCGTTGTTGGCAAACGATTGACTACAAAACAGTTTATTAAAAGTTTCCCTGCGAATTCGGTCCGGACCGTAGTTTGTGAGGACGCATTCGCGTCGAAAAAATGAGCAATGGATTGGCAGAGGCGTAGATGCAGGGTCAAAAAAAGTACTCGTAAAAGAGCAAAAAAAAATTAAAACACGTTGTATGAATACATAAATGAAAGAAATAAAATGTAATTAAAAAAGAGACAGTGACGGCGACAGAGTTAAGATTAAGTGGTAGCAAACATTCTAATTTCTATTTTCTAATTTTTATACCTCTACATATTTCTTTAAATTCTAAAAACACGTACGTACGACTACGCTATTTTTTAAATTCATTAAGTTCCGATGTTATATTGTGCAATTTATTAGTTGCCGCATGCATTCCTCTAGCACGGCACTGTCAATTATTCTATGCTTCCATTTATACCTCAAATTGTGTTAATATAAAAGTATTGTATGTTTTTCTGTACCGATAGCACGTTCAAGTTACCAGATGTCGCTCCTCACAACAATTCAAGCAATTAGCTATTTTCGTTTTCATATTTTCATGGCCTTTCATAAATCGGGTTCCCCCAGAATCAAAAGTATACTCCGTTTATACCATACCGTACGATAAAAAGGGTATGATCTATCACAATCCAGGAAAGTAGACCTTAAATTGATACTACTAACAATAGTGATAATTGTATCGTTTAAGGAGGGAGAGAGAAATGTAGCAGATGTGTTATCAAGCCATTGAAAGGAAATATTTTTTTAAATACATTTAGAGGTAACGTCATCAACTTTGCAGAGGGGATAAATGTATGAATTGTGATATGTACAACGTAATGCTAATGACAAACGGTGTAGCCAGCGTTTACGGAAAATTAAAGACCGGTTTTTATTTAGTTAATAAAATTAATTGCTTCATTCAGTAATTTTTTAAATATCCTGTGTAAACAGCTCTAAAAATATATTTATATTTTGAGGATGACGTAATGATGTTCTTTGAAGGGAGGAATAGGTGAATAAAATAAGTTTCCAGTTTCCGGCTGTTTATGTCAGTATTAGACCGATATTTATGTGTTTTAGGGATATTGCGTAGATGGTAAAACGCTAAATAAAATTTGTCTAATCATCTCCTCCAAATGTTCCATAGTAAATGTGATTTAAGTTTCATAACATAACATACTCCTACACTTGTAGTTTATGAATCCGTTTGGATTTTTACCCTAAACATACAGATTTTTACTATTACAAAAATTTTACAATTTTTAACTTAGAAACTGCGAAATCGAATGCTGTGAAATTTTACTAAACGTTTTAAGGTTAAAGTGGGCATGACATTTTTTTTATCCGTTTATCCTCCGCCAAAAATTGATGACGTCAGCTTGCACCGGACTGGCCTTGGAATTTTGCAAATTCCAGCGAAACTCCAAACGCAAAACGACTAAAATCTTCTTATTTGTTCAGGTAACAAAATTTTTGTTGGGTTTTCAAGTATTTTTACCGACAGCTTTCTGAAATTAAACTATTTCGAATAATGTAATTCTGACTTAAAATCATAACGAGCATTTTCTAAATTGTCATTCAACCGTTATTTGTTGGAAGGCATAAATCGAAAGACTTGATTTTAACTTTTGTCGCAGATAGTTTACAAGCCTACAGCAAAGTGGTATACAGGATGTCGTAATTTAGTGTTAGTTTATCAACATCCGTTAAAAAATATATATTTTCATCAGTGTTTCAACTTAAACTTCCCCTTTCAAGCTAAAAAGAAAACGCTCTTTACAGAATTTGAATGTCTCTATCCGTTTTCAAGATATAAGGCCGCGGATTATTATTTGGGACATCCTGTATATATATTTAAATAAAAATAATACATATATGGATCTTCTTATTTTGTAATATACATTTGATGCAGATTTCATTAAAATTGGTGGTAGAATTAAAGAAACAAGAAAAAGTGGGGGAAACGGTGTCAAGAAAGGGAGAGAAAAGAAGAGAGAAAAAAAGGTGGGCAGAGAGAGAAGAAAGAGGAAAAAGAGGATAAAATGGGGAGAAAAGGGGGAGAAAACGGGAAACCAGGGGAGGAAGAAGAGAGGGAGTGGAAATGGGAAGAAATGGGAGGAAAGGGGGGAAAAGTGAAGAAAGGGCGCGTAGAGACAGAGAGAAAAAGAGGAGAAGTGGGAAGAAAGAGGAAAATGAGGATGGGCAAGATGACGGCAGAAGTGCATAAGGGAAGGAGTAGGGAGAAGGATACAGCAAAAAGACCGAAAAACGGAAGAGGTCAGAGGGAGAAAGTGCGAGGAAGAGAAATGGGAGAAGAAAAATAAACAAGATAAAGAGGCAGGATAACGGAGGTACATAGAGAGGCAAAAAAGGAGAACGAAGCCAGAATGATAGGAAAAGGAAAAATTAGAAAAAAAAGAACAAGTTGAAAAAATTACTAATTTGAAAATAAACTCGGAAAAATAGAGAGGAGTATTTTATTTATAAACATAGAAATCCAAAGATATAAAGAAGTATTTATAGTAAATGGAACAGTGCTAACAGTAGAGAAAACCGAAAGAAAATGACAAAGTTTGATGGAAATTTACACACATATTAGAGATAGCAAAATCAGTGTGAAAGATAACAAGATATACAATAACAATAAATACACAGTAAAAAAATAAGCGATTCAGAAGAAAGTTGGAATGTAAAAAAGGAAGAAAAACGATCTGAACGTTGGCATGGTAGAGAAGAAACTACGACCGATTGGTGTTTGTATGTGTATTGGGAGTATCATGTAGATGCTACATCGCCAACGAAACTTTGTCCAACCATCCTCACCAATAATTTGATGATGCCATCTTCAAAATTTACAACAGTAATAATTTAAAATCAAGAGACAAAACTTTGAAAGAATCCGAATACTAAATTACCATATTTCTGCATCCTGGAGAATTCGAACAAGTTCGAGAAAATCTAACAAAATTCGAAAGAATAAGGGAAAAGTCCGGCAGAATACGACATAATTAGAAAAAAAATCGAGATCCGAAAGTTTCGGAGATTGTTCGAGAGAATCCGAAAACTAAATTACTATATTTCGAAAAATTCAAAGATTATTCGAGAGAATCAAAAAAAATTCAAAGAATAAGCAAAGATTTGGAAAGAATATAAGTAAATCCGATCAAATTTCGACAAGATAGAATAGAATCGGGAAGAATCCAAAAGAAATCGAGAGAATCCGGGAGAATTTACAACGATCCATCAGAATCCAAGAGTATGTGAGATAATCTGGAAAAATCTGAAAAAATCCGAGAGAACACGTGAAAATTCGGCAGAATCAGAAAGAACACAAGGGAATCTGAGAGAATCCAACCAAATTCCGAAAAGATCGGGAAGAATCCGGAAGAATCCGAAATAACATGTGAGAATACGAGAGAATCTCCCCAAACTCTGAGAGGATAGGAGAGACTACGGTAGAATCTGAAAGAATCTTAAAGAATCCGAAAGAATCCGAAAGAAAACGAGACAGTATGGTCAAAATCGGAGGGATTTGAAGAAAATCCGAAGGAATCGAAGAAACCCCTAAAGAATTCAAGAGAATTCAGTCAAATTCTGGCAGGATGTGAGAGAATCCGGAAGAATCTGAAAGAAACCGAGAGAATCCGAAAATAATACCAAAGGGTCCTACTGAATCTGAGAAAACTCGTGAAAATTCGAGAAAATCCGGGGGAATCTGTGTGAATCCGAAAAAATCCGAAAGAATAAAAGGGAATATATGGATACGAGACAATCTGAAAAATCTGTTTTGAATCAGAAAGTAATCGATAAAATACCAAACAACAGGGAAGATTTCGAAAGAATCCAAGTGAATCCGAGAGAATCCAAAAATTATTCAGGAAAAGCATGTAGAATCTGAAATAATACGCAAGGAATCGAATAAATTTCGAAAGAACCTAAGAAAACCTGAAGAAATTCAAGAGAATTCGAGAGGGGCTATGTGAATTCGATAGAGTACGAGAAGATATGGGAGAATCGTACGAAATTCCAGAAGGAACGCAGAGAAGTTGGAAGAATGTGAGAGAATACGGGAGAATCCGAGAGAATTTGAAAGAATTCGAATGAATTTGAAAGAATGTAAGATAATCCGATAAAGTCGAACAGAATCCGAAAATATCGAAAATAATCCGAGGAAATGATTAAAATAAGTTAAACAATTACAGGAAACTTATGATATGTTGATCAACGATTCGAAATTTCGGCCCATAGAACTGCAAATTTCAGTCTCCTTTCTCCAACTTAGCATCACATTTAGTTAGTTCTATTATCAAAAAGATAATCATGTCTGATATTTTAATAAATGTTCAAGATATTAATGTTAATAATATTAATTCGTTACTATGGAATTTTGTGTAAAATGTCAAAAATAATCAGTCTTATCTTAGCAAAAACTGCCCCCCCCCCTTAGCCCCTTATTTCCTTAGAGGATGTCCTTTTTGAAAAATAAATTTTATCTTAGCAATTACTCGCCCCGCCCACCCACCCCCTATTTTCTTTGAGGATGTCATTTGCCAAAATAAGTCTGACCTTAGCAAGTAATGCAGCTACTATGCGTATGATGATTTAAACAACGAAACGTATTTTAAAAAAATTTAGAATCCAAGAAAAGGGCAGTGGATAAGAAAAACATAAATAAATACAAAAAACGATTTTGTTTGAAAAGGTGACGAGTTGAATAACGAGTGGAAAAAGTATAGTGTTAAACT